TTTTTTTTTTTTTTTTTTTTTTTTTTTTTTTTTTTTTTTTTTTTTTTCATCAACTTTATTCATTTACCACGCAAAGCGTCAATCGTGCAAGATAATACCAGTTGAATCCATATACTTGAGCGTTTTTTTGTTTTTTGTTTTTTTTTACTAAAGCTCGTCGAATAAACAGGTATTGAAATCAAGTTCGAAGAGAAAAAAAATAGTAGATGCGCCGAGATGACACGTACAATCCATAATTGCACCCCTCCCGCAGCGTGCAATCTTACAGTACAGTTGAAATTTCGGGTCGTGTCCCCCGTATAATCATACACAGCGATGCAAAGTTATGATTGCATGTGCCGGGCCGTTCTCCGAAACGCGAAACTGCATTTTGTGGGCAGCCGAGGATTTTTCGGTGCAGCGCGACAGGAAAAGCTCATCGGAAATTAACCCGAGTGCAGGTGTAGTCGATTTAGTTGAACTAATCGATGAAATAATTGTTGTCACCCGTAGCGAGGAGCTTCAAGATCTGCAAGCGCGACACCCCGGACTACTCCTCGTGCCTACGACTGGCCATCCAAGAGACATGGATGCCCATCATCAAAGGTATAACACGAACTTAACTCCACCAAAGGACTTACCGTTAGATCAGGTCTGCGATGTATAGCCTTGTTCGCGTGGGTGTTGCAGGTATTCCCGAGCTGGGGCTTCCGGTGATGGACCCGTACTACATCGACTTCATGGAGCACGAGTACGAGTCCGGTGATATAGCCGGGAGACTCGTCCTGCGCAACACCACGACCTACGGATTGGCCAAGACGCGCTTCTTGGCTGTGAGGCCGAGCTTCACCGGGGACCGTGTTAACCTGGAGGTGGACATCGAGATACCCAAGGTCTTCATCGACGGGTTTTACAAGGCCGAGGGCGCTATCGGGCCGTACAAGATCGGCGGGAAGGGTAGGTTATTTCAACCGATTTTTTCGTATCGATAACGAGAGTCATTGCGATACACACCGACCGTCTCTGGACACGATTCCGGGAGATATTCAGCTCGAGATCGGTATCGCGTATAATTTGTTTAATTTACTTTTTTCTACAGGTTACTTCAACGTCAGTATGGAGGGAATCAGCGCTACCTGGGGCATCGAGGGCCGAGTCAACGAGTACGACAGGCTCGTCGTCGAGCACTTCCACGTTTTCCCCGAGGTTGAGTCGATGAAGGTCTACTTTACCGATCTCTTCAACGGCGACGAGGCACTCAGTAAGTTCTATTGAATTTGTTTTTTTTATTTTTTTTTTTTTTATTCTTCATTGCCGTCGCGCTGATTGGACGCGATTGAAAAAAAAAGTTTCGTCGCTTTTTTTCTCCCCCGATCTCGCGCAATCGCGTGTAAAGCGCTCGGTGCGCGTGTTTTTTCGTTGCAGACAAAATGGCCCTGACCTTCGTCAACGAGTACTGGCAGGTTATCTACAAGAGCATGCTGCCCATCGTGGAGAAGGAATGGGACCACCACCTCGCCTACTTCGTCAACGACAAGTTCTTCTCCAAGATCCCGGCCTCGAAGCTGTTCCCCTGAACGACCGCCTCGTCCATTTTTTCAAAAATATTCTTTTAGCAGTTGGTCGGAAAAAAAAAAAAAAAAAAAAAAAACAGTTATTTTTGACGTAGAACATGTATTGAACAGTAGGAGGAAGAAGCGAGCCGTATGGAGCCAAACACCAAAAAACACAACCGTCCGAGATAGTATACATATAGGCGTGAAGACAAACGAGTCAGTTTTACCTTGCGTTCGGTATAATTCGATACGAGGAATATCGATATGCCAGTATTGTGTGTGTAAATATAGAAATAAATAATAACAATGATGATTATAATGACAATAAAAGAAAAAATATTACAACCCTATGAAAAATCCTTGTACACATTCCTATATAATATGTACAAGCGCTGCACTGCAATCGTTCGACACAAACATGTAGAAAGTTTTCTCGCAAACTTTCATCTTTGCCGTGACGGTGAACTTGGAAAGTCAAGGCTTCTAATGACGACTTTCGCCTCAACCTTTCGTGACTTGTAGAACATTTTTTTTTTTTTTTTTTCGCTTCTCACTCCTCTATTGACTGAATGGAACAAACGAGTTGGTCCACTGAAGTTATTACGGTAGGGAGTACATATGGGAAGAAATCAGTGCACGCCCAGTGTGTCTTTTTTCATCAATTCTATTGTTTTCCTTCTCCATTTCACTTTTAATCGACAAAGAGCAAACGTCTTTATAACGTAAAAAAAAAAAAAAACCATCTCTTTTTCTGCACGTGCATTAATGACATGACAAATCTTCGTCACGGACGGCAATTATAATCGTAGGAAAGAAGCATCATTCTCGCAACCTCGAGTCGGAGCGTTTCGCTAAACATGTATACGATTTCCTCTCATCGGTATCGTAAAACTACGTAACAAAAAATTAAAAATATGTGAATGCAAACAAAAAAAAAAAAATAAAAAATAAAAAATAAAAAAAAAAAATAGTCAACTCATCGGAGCGATATATTTGTTCTTTGCGAGTAGACCTTAGCAACAATTAGGTGTAATTATTAATATGCCGATCGTCACGGGAGCAAAAACGTTTCAACCGGTACGTGCCGGAGCAGCTGGTTGGCGATGCTGGCGAAGAGGGTCGAGAGCTTTTGCTTCAGCTGGGGCTCCATCAACTTGAGAACCTCCTGGCCGTTGTCCTGCAGGAAAAGATTCGTCGCTTCGGCTGGAAAGTCAAGCAAAGGTGGTATAAAATCTCTCGATCGGTACGCACATTTTTGGATTAACCGTAATCGTTATGCACTCACTCAGTATCCTGTTGCCGTGGAAGATGTTTCGGACGCGCATGTGTATGTCTTTCACTTTGAGGATGACATTGAGGTTGTCGACGTTCAAGTAGGTCTTGTTGTCGCGTGGATGCGTCGAGACGTTGCCACCCAGGAGGACACTGACGTCCTCGAATTTGGCTTGGAAGGTGCCGTTGCCGCTAGCCGGGAGGATCAGCAGAACTCCGGAACTAAAAAGCCAAGGGGAGTAGAGACAGACTTTTCTTTTTTTTTTTTTTTTTTTCATGTCTACCTATAAAGAGTACGTTTCACGTAGGGGGTTTATACTATACGCGTCTTGCGAAGGCTATTATTATCATTATGTATATGTATACGCTCGAAGGAGGGTCGTGAGTTTCGACCGGCGATACTTTGCACGTGCGCGCGTGTGGTTGGTCGGGCGTTGCACCCCAAGGTATATATATATGATATATCCATTGTGTGATATTCTTTTAATAAAATGTTGCCGAGTGATTTAGAGGCGGTAGCGCGTGCCAAGTGTACCGGTATATACGTCGAGATCTTTGGAAATTCACGAGGTGCGATGAACGAAGTAAAAAGTTGTATATCTCATCGAGACCCAAAATTGGCTTCGATTGGGCTTTTATGGCAGATCTCTCAATTTCATTTAAAAATAAGATGTAGGTATACCAAAAGAACAATTTTTTTTTCTATTTTAGTGAAGTTTGTGATCACCACTCCATGATGGTTCAAGTTAAAAGTTACGAATAGAATGGACCCAACGTAATCCAAGACATTTGACTTGATGCACGTAGTCATGACAAAATTTTGTTTGTTCTTCTTTCTTGAAATTTTTCGAGGATTTCGACACATTACGTGTACAAAAGGCTCCCTGTGTTTAACTGTACTTACATCACCGAGCAAGGCGCTCTTTACCATTAAGATAAATCTTTTTTTTTTCTCTCTCTCTCTTTTTTGGTAAGTATACATCAATTTACAAGACTCCGAGCCTCTGTATTCGCAAAACAAAGAGAAACGTTTTTCTTATTTTTTTTTTTTTTTAGTTTCAAACTTTTTGTTTTGTACACTTAATACCCCAATCCGCGAATATCCGCGACTCATTAAAATTCCACCCATCAAGCACAAACGGTATGACGCATACGTATATGTACACAGATCGACTTTTACAATGGAGTCCGAGAGAGACGTTATTCAAAACCATAGTACTTACAAAAGTGTACGAGTACAAAGAATAAGGTATTATTTGATGCAGGCGGGTATATGAGAAAAGGTGAGAGAGAGAGAGAGAGAGAGAAAAGGAGTTGTACGGCCCACCTGGTGTACTGGGCGGCAAGGAGAAGCTTGGGCATGTGGATCTTGGCCTCGAAGGACGAGCCAAGCTTGATGCCGACTACCGTGTAGTTACTGGCACCCTTCACGTACAGGTCGCGCAGCCGTACCGTGTAACCGTTGCGTCCACCTGTCAGCGACAGCTTCAGCTCGTCCATCTGTTGAATTCAGAGACCAGCGACACGCGCGTTTGTACTACATGTGTATGTATATTTTTGTACATGTATACGTACAGGCATACATTATATACGTTTATTGCGTTGTATGTATGTACATGTGTACAGGGTTTATGATGTGTTGGCGTATATATGGGCCATTTTATGAAAACCAGCATACTTTGAACGCTGGAATGGGACCAAAGACTATAAAGGGCTTTTTTTTTTTTTTTTTTTTTTCTGACATTTTTTCTGTATTATATATTTGTCCAAAACGAGTTATAATTTTTTTGGCCTTGTTGAACAGAGACATTTTCAATAGTAATGTAATAGGTGTAACGTTACGGGCTCTGAGCAAAAATACAAGAGCTTTATGGATTGTGAAAAAATCGTCGTATAATCGAGATTGCGATGTAACAAATGATTATTAAATTTGGCCCTTGCACTTATTTCATGTACTTATGACAGCTATATTTTAACCCATCGCCTTCCCAGTCGTTAACAGAACAGTTCGCGTAAAAAATTAAAAAGTCTTATTTTCCTTCCAAGCGTTGCCAAAAGTAAACATTTTTAAATGAGACACGAGCCTACTAGTTTAGCCTTCACTTTTTTCCATTTAAAATGAAAGCAACAGCCTTTTTCGATCTCATAATTATTTTAACTTTAACACAAAATTAATTTTCATTGCTTAAAAAAGTCATTACAACCAAATCGCTTTAAATTGTATTTTCACGGTACATCGTTATGTTACAATACACATTGTTTTGTTGTTGCTCTGTAGTATTGTTGTTGTGGGCTTTTTTTTCTCGTTTACGTGCCGTTCTTCATCACTTACCTCATAAATTTTTTGCGCGCTTACTCATCATGGAAATTATCTCTCGAGTTATTGCTGTCCAGCACACAACCGCGAGATGTTATAAACACGAATCTTTAATTTATAAGTGACAGCGACTATTGTGGTATCAAAATTTCCGATAAAAAGTCGGATTTCATTTTTGGACTATTTATTAAAACTTCGAAAGGCTTTGAGAGCTTAGTACGGCCTTCGACCAAATTAGAATCTTTAGCTTTGAATTTTAACAAACGTACAGATTTAATACAAATATTTTTAATTTTTTCCAAATGAGAGATCTGATTTTTGCTTTCAAATAAAACTTGAAAGAAAAAAAATGTTTTCTCTAAGTGTTACAACACCACGAAATATATGAGAAATACATTTCCACCGCAGTAGGTACATGTTTAGCCTAGAATGATAATTGAGCGTTGCTTGAGAGCGATTAATTTAATTTTTTTTTTTTTATTGCACGAAATGAGTTGTAGAGTTTTTTTTTTTAACTGACACATTCTGACAATCCAAAAGTGACAGTTATTCTTTACGTGTCATTTTTATATGAGCAATTAAAAAAAAATGGTATTTAAAATTAACTAGAACTTTTACGGGAAATCTTTGCCTAACCAAAGCCAATTATTGCAATGTTGAAAATAGTGACGGACGGTTGGTAAAAAAATTACAGTTGTTGGAAAGACACCAAACATACATAATTATGCTTCCAAAAAATAACTTGACGACAAAAACGCGTTTATTACTTTACGGGAAAACCTTCAATTGTTTTTTTCTAATACTCTCCTCGCAATTTTATTTAAAATCACATTAAATGATTAAGAACAGAATTGTCTCTAGTAATGATTAATCACCAGAATAAAATAAACTTACGTAAAACGGCTCGACTGTGGGTAGTTCGATTTCGGGAATACCATCCCTCAAATACGGCCGGAGGTGGTGAAGCGAGCCGATCAGGCAAGATTTCAGCTTCGGATCGCTTCTCGAGCATTGTTTCACGTACTCGGCTAAAAAAAAAGAAAAAATACCGATATCAATGTTTCGTTTTTCCAATTATTTCGGTAATTAAAAAAAAAAAAAAAAAAATTTACTAATTTCATTGTCACGTTCACCTCTTGAGTTGGAAAAAATTCAACTCGAATCGCTTGTTCTTATCCCACCTCTTCAATCGCACAACTAACAATCATTTCCAAGAGGAAAAAGTGCAGTCCGGAGGAGAAGCGGGCAAAAAGCCCAAACAATACCGCGTATACGACTCGTCTTTGGGCAACTTTTCACGGGTCCTGAGGTATCGTCGTTGTGAAATTCTTTCGAAACACCGAAGCCTCCCTCGAGTTTTTTCGGCTTTTAACACCTGCGCGATCGAAGCGCAATAAAATGCATATACACGAAATGACGAACGTAAAAAGAAAAAAAAAAAAAAAAAAAAAAGGAGAAGTTAAACCAACCAAACCAAGCGTTGACGATCGGTGTGGTCATTGCACGGTATACAGTCTGCTGCACTTGGAGAGAGTCGGTGCGCCGATCGATCGTTGCACCGGCAACCGATCGGAACAACCGTTACGATGATAGTCCAAAGATACCGGCGATACTTGCACTCTCGTCGTTTCACCCATGCGCACTTTTTACCTCGAGATTCCTCAAAAAGGACTGTATACCTCGAGAACCGAGATCGGTATCGTGTCAAAATCGGTACTCACGAATCGGTCCGTCGCTAATGTCGGCGTAGCCCAGCTTGGCCAGGCCCAGCAGGAAGATCGGCCACAGGGGCGTCAGTCGTATCGGCAGCATCCTCGGAAAAATCGGTAAAAGATCGGCAAGGGGTTGAATCGGCAGCGGTAATTTTTCTCCAAAAAGGCAGAAGGAAAGAGAAGAAGAAGAAGATGAAGAAATAGGGTCCAAACGGGCTCGTCAGAGGAAGCGAGCAGCCGAGGTGCAGCGAGAAGAGGCCATTGGCAGATGCAGTGGCGACTGGTTTCTAGCTCTTTCTGCACAACGCTGCAGGCACTTTCACTGCAGCGGAGAGCCTAGCCACGGCTATATATACTATTTTCCTTCTCTATACCTACACGCGTATACGTGTAACACGAGGCAATGCAATTTCGCACGCAAAGACCTATCTATCCGCTAACTATCCTGCTCCTACTGCTTCCTCTGGCGTTGCTCTACCTCAGTTATATATGTACATGTATAGATAATGGGTACCCAGGCACGTATGCGCGCCGTAACGCAAGGACAGCTCTCCTGATGAGCGGCTAATATACCTGACCCCCTTTTTTTTTTTTTTTTTTTTTTCCTCCCTTCTCAATAGGTCTGCTCGTTTGTTTTTCTAACCGGAGGATAACTTAAACTGTGTAGGTATGCCTGTGGGATCACGTAAGAGTATAGTCAAAATATTTTCACTATTACTAAAAAAATCAAACAAACGAAAAAGGATGTGTAGGATGGACGGGCCAATTAGGCACTGTTCACTGGTACTCGTCATCTCTCCTTTTTATATAATAATATATACACGTGCAGGGGACACAACGTGTGCGTGTATCGTATACATATATATGTACATGTGCGACCCAAATATTCGTCACTTGTGACGGGGCTTTTCATGTGTTACGTATACTATCGCATTTTTCCCTTTTTCCTCGTGCCCCATGTCCTTGGACAGAAACAAATGTATTATGGATATTGCGTGCCGGGATGAAAAAGAGTTTGTATACTTTGCCGGTCACCTTCCAAATGTTCTATGTCATCTCTGTACTGACCGAGACAATGGGCTCGTTGGCTTTTTTTTGATGGCATATATACATGTAGATGGATGTCTGCCTCGGACGAGAGATGAATAATATTGTGCCTTTTTTTGCGTTACCATGTAGTTACAAGTAGATGTTCATTTAAATAAAAAAAAAAAAAAATTGTCAAGAGTATACCTACGTGTGTGTTTGCGTTACCGCAAGCATTACCTTACAGTTTGGCTTCAAAGTATTGTGTATTTTGGCGATTAGATCGAGAAATGAAAATATTGCTTTTGAAACGTGAGTGCTATTATTTTTCCAAACACTCGATCTTACTGCGACATTTATCAAACGTTTGGCTTGGACAAATATATTTTTTTCTCATACGCAGGACCTGTCGCAGAAAAAATATCAAAATTTCAATCAGGAGATCTTCCAGCCAAACATGTTGTCTATAGAACCCAGAATTAATCAAGTGCTTTTCGAATCCAACCCACAATCGGTGAAACGTAGAAAAGCTTACACGTGGCTTATAAATAATGTCATAGCCACCGAGATGCATCAAACATCTTGTAAAGTACATCATTTTCTTTATTCATTACCAATTAAGCGCTCGAGTTAAAAATAAAACGAGATGAATCGAAAGTTTTATGTTTTACTGGTACTTTTTTGCAGAATTTTGTTTAATACCGATGGGTAAAGTTTGTACCCGTACTACGTATGGGTAATAATCACATGCTCGAATGAAGCTGTTGGAAGTCACAGGGATTACAGGATCCGTCACTCGTAACCACTTCGATACCGAATAATACGTACTTCCTGTTGCACTATATACAGCTTTACTTCTATGTGTCTCTGGTTCATTGAAGTACTTGAATTCTATGTGCAGTCGAGAATAGTTTTAAATTTATTAAAAAAAAAACTTTTTGTAATGACTCATTTCAGTCTTATGGTTTTAATTGGCAAAAAACGTTTGGAACATAAAAAAAATTTTTCTCATGTCCATTAAATGTATACAGTTGAATTCTTCTGTAAAAAGTTGTAAGCCTGAAAAAATTTATTATTCGTTTATATTTTACATTAGTGAATCGCAATTTGATAAACGTTAAAAATAGGTAATAAAATGTATTTTTTGCTGGTGAAATACTTTTATTTTGAATAGTTAATTTGGATCCGTGTATTTTTTTCGACTGCTTACCATTCTAAATTGAGTATAATTTAAAATAATTATATAACTAAATCATAAAACAAGATAAACCATATTGATGAAGATGAAATATCTTTATTTTGCAAAAGCTTAAAAAAAAATTTTTAAATAATAGTTGTATAAAATGTGTACTGCTTATACTTAATAAAATTACAAAAAATTTGAAAAAAACGAAGCTAGTCTGCCATTGTCCAAAAATGTCGAAACGAATTTTCACTTTATGTATCGTCAAAGCCATCTTGAATCGTGAAAATTTCAAATTCCACGCAAAATCCCACATGTAACACACGGAGATGCACGCTAACAACGAGAGCCGAATAAATCAACCTGAGATAACCAAAGCGCCCGACCCGCAAAAAGAAAGTTTGTCTCTTTAAAAAAAAAAAAAAAAAAAAGTTTGTTGTTTTTCTCCTCTCGCTCTTGAATTTCGGTCCCTCGTTTCAGCCCACTAAACTCTAGCCGGTATACGATCACGCAACCTCAGCCAAACAATTGCCGAAGGAGCGATTACACACGCGCTTAATTTTTTTTTCCTTACCTCGCACACAGCCTAATTCGTCCTTTCTCAAGCTTTTTTTTTTTTTTTTTCACATTTAGCATATCACGCATTTACGTAAAAGCCCAACGCGCAACTACATCTCCACGCGCTCGGAAGGAGAGCCGTAAAAAGTGAAAATCTTCTCAGGCCTACCGCATCCTGCAGAAACGCCTCTTCCGACGCGCAGAGTTCAGTGACGCGCTTCACTCGAGCTACGAGCTAACTTATAAATACGTGCGAAAATCTCATCAGCTCCGAGAGGTCTCGGTAGTTTTCCATTTCTACAAGAAGAAAAAAAAAAAAAAAAAAAAAACAGTTATTTTTGACGTAGAACATGTATTGAACAGTAGGAGGAAGAAGCGAGCCGTATGGAGCCAAACACCAAAAAACACAACCGTCCGAGATAGTATACATATAGGCGTGAAGACAAACGAGTCAGTTTTACCTTGNAACGAAAAAAAAAAAAAAAAAAAAAAAAAAAAAACAGGTCACCGCCGTTTCAGAGATCCTTCGCCATAATCTTGCATACACGCGCCGGCTAGCTGAGGGAGAGAGCGCAGCGGGCAATTTAAAAAGACAGTGAATGCCCGCTGGTCCAGCCATCGTATGCCATAATACGATCCACACGGTCAACCGAGTTGTCTTGTGTCTATACGAACCCATGTGCCGGTGTGTGGTTGTATCGCAATTGCGTAAGCGTAGAAGAAAAAAAAAAAAAAAAAAAAAATATCAGGCAGCCAATCCAGCCACCTAACCGATCTGCGTGGCTATATACCTGTGTATGTGTATACCCCACGGTACCCCGTGCACGAAAAATCCCGAGCTCTCGAGGTCCGAACGACCGGCAACCAAGTCAGATGCATCGTGGCGAGTGAAAGCGCGAGCAGGCGCGCAAACCCGAGCACCAACTACTCACGCTGTAATTGACAAAAGAGCAAATCACCCGTGGAGCTTTATAGGGACGAAAAATCCTAGAGGCGTGTGAGTGCAAATATTTACCAGTCGAGTGTATAACATTACCAGCAAAGTGCCAACGAGACGTCATGTCTTCCCGCAAAAGAATTTCCTCGGGGATGCTGTTACCAGTGCTGCTGGCGCTCGTTCAGTCTGGAGTTGTTGGCCGATCTACGGCCGATGCTGCCGATTTTGGCAAGTATTCCATGCAGACTAACGTTTTGTGTTCTCGGTTCTATAGTGTTTTTTTAGAGCGCAAGTTCAGGTACTTTTGAAGTTTTATTTCGTGAAATAGTTGTACGAAAATAATGAGCGATTGGAACTGTTTTAGAGTTTGTTGTCACATCGGTTGATGTAATTTTGTTAACTGGAAAGATATTTGCAATCTCCATTATAGTGGCCATTGTGAATTCGGTATCGATTAACAAACAAATGGGGGGAAAAATTAACCAAGAGTCACATACAACATCTCGTACAGCATGATTTGTAATTATTTCCAAACACATGTATCTAATTTGTAAAATTGATAATTTGTTACACTTTTAACATTATATGACAAAAAAAGTGTTTCGCATGTGCTATTCAATTTTTTTTTCTCGCAATTAGATATTGCTGCGGTTGCGTTGTAAGCTCGAGAACAAGTAGATAATATACATACCTATGTGTACGTAGTTCACAAAGTCCCACGCATCACTGTGTATTCCTCATATTCCTCGGGAAAAATGGATCGAGTTCCCTTCAAGATGTATATATTTTTTTAAATTTTTTCTCGAGAACAAAAATGCAAGCAATACGGTAAAATAACTTTTGTTTACTCTAATGGAACTCACAAAAAAATAGTATCCGTCCAACTCATGTCTTTGGGCCAACTCATGTTTTTGTTACACTTGGGAATGTGTTGCGTGATTTGTGCAACGTGTATTATGATAATCTCGTACCTATACCTATACATATACACCGCTTTCGAAAGTAATGCTTGAACGAAAGGAAACATATGCATTATTATCGTTCTTCGTTATCGAACCCACCGTTGTTTCACTCAAACATTGTTTGCGTACAAAGTTACAACCTGCGCGTTTTTTTGCTGCTCTCCAAGTTTTTGAAATCCATTCGAGCTTTGCCATCAAAGGGCTAAACGTTACAGCTTTGCATCGTGAAAACCTGGTTATAGATCAATTTCGTATTTTACCAGCAAAAAAGCGACAGGAATAGCATTTAGCAACAAATCCTGTTGAGCTCGTGCGCGCGCATTCGTATGAAAAAATGTCTAAATTATCGCTTTATCAGAACGTAATGTGCAGCACACGTTTTATGCAGCCTATTGCGAAACGAATCCCTGGCACTTGTGTGTATGCGCGTACGTACTACTGGTCTCAATTTTCAGGACTCGATGTCCTTCGTCGACCAGAGAGCACAGGGAAAGGGGCACGAGATTGCCAATATGGGTGACTGGGAAGCATTAACATCACAACAAAGCCATATCTCTCAACAAATTCATTGCTTCATTTTTCGTGGAACCGCAACTGGGGGTGATGTACTCCTTGGAAAAAAAAAAATTAAAAACATTTCTAAAGTAGTTCCGGTAGTCGAGTAATAATTTAACTAAAAAAAATTTTTAAAAACATCGAAATCGGTGACTTTCGTTTAAAAATGTTTCAAGAGTTAATTTGGCGAGGAAGTCCTAATGGACCAGGTAATATGTAACGAAAGCTAACCGGCGCTCGTAAATATTACGTGTACAGTTGACCCACGTAGTAATGCAAATATACACGAGTACAGTTAAAGAGAGTGTGGTAGCTACTGACCATCTATATGTACAAGTATATACGTTACGCGTACAGGCTTATTATATATTGTATAAGTTTACTCGCTGGTCGTTGGCTCCACAGTAATATCCATCTACTTGGAATTTTTTATTTGAATACCATTTTTACGTACATATACAGTTTTGTACTGATTTTCGTCGACGTGTTTTTTTTTTCCGAGTGTAAGATCCATCAAATTTTTCTTCATCCAAAAAAAATTTTTGCAAAATTGGATTTTATGCGCGTGTTTTTTTGCTATTCGTAATTTTGAAATATTCCTCCGTGATAGGATAACTGCAAGGGTTACGAAAAAAGTCCTCAACTTTTGTGTATTACACACAAGCGTTGCGACATTTTATTTCAATATCATAAAACGATTTCCTGCTTATATTTTTAGAGACGCTTCATGGTCGATGTTATTTGGTTTTGACGAATAATCCTCCATATCTATTTCAATTTTATTTTGGCCTATCCTATTAATATTTACAGGGTTAGCTTCGAAAACTGTTAATGGCGGTATTTTTTATCCTCTAGCATGCAAATTATTACAATTTTATTTTTTTACAAATTAATTAAACGGAGATTCTAACTCAATTGCCTGTAATTTTAAGGTCACCGACTTTGGTTTTACGTTTATAATAATCAAAACTTGCTCACACGAATGTCACACGAATACTCATGTCGAAAAGTTGTCATCTTAATAATTTTGTACTTCCACGTTGACAAATGCTGCAAAATTCATTAGAGGGGTATTCATTTTAAATGCACTTGCTCCGCGCGTCGTTACCGCATAACAATAAAGGTCTGCACTCAATTGTACGTATATATGTGTGCATGAATGAATGCGCCTTTTTTTTTCTATTACAAACGTAGACCGTCGCATGAGTGCGAGTGATTTCATAAAATCTTGTACGAATAGATGTGCGTACTGCAAAGTGAAAGTTGCCTCCGTAGATTGATTAAATTTGTTGTTCTCGAGAAATATTACCGATACCTTTGTCGTGTATCAAACACCGGAACATAGTAGTCGTATTTCTAATTTAAATTAACAATTTACTATAAAAAAAAAGAATACTGATGAATTTTCCACTTATTGGTTCACCATAAAAATGGATATTCATAATTGTCTAAAAACACATGAGCAAAGTAATAATGAGAATCTTCGTCCTTGCCTTATATTGAGTTTCTCAAAACCGGAGAAGTTAATGCCAAAGTTTTCCTACTCATTAAAAAACTCAATGGATTGCCAGCCCAACAGGAAGTACATTAAAATTTGATTCATAAACTTGACGATTAAAATTTTCCAAGAGCACAAAGTATTCCGACGTCTCTTGGCAATAATGATTTTTTTATGTTTACTTTGAAAATGAATGCACATACGTTACAAGGATAATTTAAAATTCTTCGTTTTGAAAGGGTACACACGTTTTAGTGTGTATTTAATGGCAAGCGCCAGACTCTTGGAGTCGCTGGCTAAAAGAAAAAATTTCACGTCACGCGTCATTTGCGGCTTTATGTAAATACCCTTTATTCGCACATAGTAATTTTGTGTTTAACGACTTTTGAACTGAAAAAATGTATTGCTCATCTAAAATAACTACATCGCGTCACTTTTGCAATACAAAGATTCAATTTTTTTTTTTTTTTTACAACATTTATCATTTCCCCCATGAAAAGTAAAGACAAATATTACAGAGGACCACTTCAAGGATTGCAAGTTGGGCGCGCCGAACTTTGATGCGTGCATCCGCGAGGCGCTCAACTCCATCCGGCCGTACTTCAAAACTGGCCTTCAAAAGTACAACGTCGAACCCTTTGATCCCTTTTTCGCGAAGGAGGTGACTGTGAAACGCGGACTGCCCAACCTCGGCTTCACCATCTGCTTGAGAAACGTCACGGAGAGCGGCTGGACCGCCAGTAAAGTCACCAAATTCGTCAGCGACCTGAAAAATTACAAGGTTTTTTTTCTTCCACTCTTTTCACACTTTGTGAAGCAAGAAAAAAAACGCCCTAGTTTTAAACACAAATCATCGTTTTTGTCATGCAGGTGGTGTACACGCAGAGTTTTCCAGACAAATTTTTGTCCGGCGATTACGAAGTGACTGGTGCCGTTTTGGGTTCGAAGATGAAAAACAAGGGAAAGTTCACGTTAGCTCTTTGTAAGTCACACTTTTAACTATCAGGGCTCATCAGAGCTTGCAAAAAAAAGTGATGTAACAGGTTTTGTTGCGCTGCATACTTTTCAAGATATTAAGTAATGATTGACAAACTTTTTTTACCGTAGTGCTAGCTGGAACAGTTTTGAAAGTTTTTCAGATTATTTTTCAATTGACAGTATCTAGAAAAGTACGAGTTTTATTGTTGTCGCGATGAGCTTAATCCCACGATATATTTTTACGACATCATTTTCAAAACGTACATTGTAAGAAACCAATTTGTAAGGAAAAAGCAATCGGCCGCTCTGTAATGTACAAATAAAAGAAAAAATAACAAGATTCACCTGCAATTTCACTCGTTGGTTGTTTCGTATGGTTTCTCCCCGTGATTGACGTGACCCCTTTCCCTCTAACGATCGAACTAAAATTATTAACGAGAAAAAGTTTTCCTTCGCCAGTGGAACGAACAAACGAACAACCTGTTGGAGCAAGTAACCACACTTTGTCCACTTTTCAGACGATCTCGTGCAGACGACGACAATCACCAAGGAGCCGGGCGCTAAAGTCAAAGTACGGGTGGAAGTGGAGACCATCCGCGATCTCAAGCTCCACATATCGAATCTGCTGGCCGGTCGTGAATTCCTGGAAAGGATACTCGATCGGATCATCAATGGGGCTTGGCAGCCCGGTTTCACCGTCACGAGGCCCATCATCAACGACCTCGTCTCGGTCGCCTTCACCGACATTTTTGGCAGAGCCTTCCAAAACTTCCCCTTCGAAAGGGTCATCGGAAAATCAAACAATTTGCTGTAAAATCTGCCGTATGCGGTACGCTTCGTGCCAATCAAGTTGTGATCTTTTTTTTTTTTTTTTTTTTTTTAATTGACTCGACCACGTGATTCATGTCGTGGTTACCAAGGTGTAAGATACATCTTTAGTAATTTGACTGTATGGATACTCAGAAAAGTGCATTTGTAGTTAGTTTCTTTTTTTTTCTGCATTGTCTTGAGTTAGGTCCGTTTATTTTCCAAACCTATTTTAATTTAGTTTGTATTTTTTAAAAATTATAAATGTTTTTGTGAAAAAAATTGGATAAATATATTAGAAATATAGTAGGCCGAATTTTTTCCAAAACTATAAAAGTAGGCAAAACAACAATGATTTGGTAAATTAATTGATGGTTTCAAATAACTCAAGATAATGCAGAGGTTGTTCGACAAAAGTTCCGATTTTTGAGATTATAACGTTTTTAAATACTTACTTTAAAGATGAAGATTTTTAGTGGAATCGCTTATTTTTATTGATTGGCAAATGCTTAGCCAAATATAATGTTGTTTTAAGAACGAATTCGCCATAATTGTATTAATTCGTATTTTCATGTACAATCATATCATGTATATAATATAGTGATCTAGCAGTTGTACATAAATTGTTTTAAATAAACTTTAAAACATTTTTGAAAAATTAAAAAAAACTTTGCTTCGAAAATATTCCTTTTTAAAATATAGATGATTTCTTTGTTTGAAAAGATACGTGTTGGAGTATGAATAATTAAGATGGTTGTATTTGATATTATGCAGTAGAAAAAAAAAGAGACCAAGAAAACACGTATAAAACTGGATTCTCTATCGATTGATCTAAACCAGTATATTCCATATAACGGTAATATTTGACGCGGCACAGATTTGAAATAATTTCATTCCTCAGAATGAAGCATTAAATCTAACCAGTTATTTTCAGAAACTACTTGTACCATGTTTACAATTTTTCATTGTGTCAAATATATAAGTAATTATTTCAAAAATTGGATTTAAAAAAAATCTCTAGTATACTCATTATTTTTTGTATTGTCATTTTCAAACGAGGATAAATAAACTTCCAATATGGTGTGGTGAAAAATACAAATACTTGCTAGCACGATAAGAAAAAGAAAACATTATGTGCATGTGCCCAGTGGTCAATGACATGTACTACGTTTGTGGCTTCTTCGATTTTTTTACTGTACTTACGTATATTGCACACGAACACCATAAGTATACAATGATCTCAATACGAAAAAAAAAAAAAAAAAAAAAAAGAATACCACTAGTGGTCCCCGATGAGCTGCTTACCTTGAGGAGATCCATCCGGACTTTGACCCTACGTATTTTTTTTTCTTCACTATTCCGCGTACGATTGGCATGTGGATAATAATATATCCGTATGATTTTACAGCTGAAAAGCTTGGATGCATTGTCAACTTTGTTTATAGTAATATATAAAACTTTGTGACAATATGGTGGGGTTATAACTAAATTAGCTGATTGAGTTCAGATATGTTTAATTAATTTCTTAAAATCATTAGTACTTAAAAGAAAACAACAATTTTTTTTTATGGGACTGTTTTCATCCATAATTAAAATTGATTGAAGATTGTCTCAGTTAAAAATTTCAAGAGTCAATTAAATGAAAATTCGTGGGTTAATAATTAAATTAAAATTCGGACCAAAAGATATTGGATTACTATTTGAGAATAATGTGTTTCTTTTCTTTCAGTTGTAAATAAATTAAGAATTGAGATTAGTTACTCGAACGTAAAGAAAAATATAATATAAACTACATTTAAACAATCCCAATTAATTCAACTAAAAATTATATTTTCAATGTTACTCTTTGGTTGTTAAATAAAATAGTTTAGGACCTTATACTACGAAAAAATAAGAATATTAGGAAACTTTTATAACATGACAAGTTTCACGAATACGAAAAATTATCATAATTGTTAACTCATGTCACATGATTAAACTAAAGTGTACTATTAAAAGTTAACGGACAAAAAAAAAGTTGCTAGATAAAAGTTTGTTTTTTAAATCTTCTGGGAACAATATACTTAATAGCACAGAATTAAATAATAACAACGACCATATCATGGAACAAGAAAGTATCGAGTGCGTCAGATAGTGATAAATTAAAAAAAATCAATTCACGTGCGGGTGACTAAAAAGACGACACAAAGAGATGACACACGTACTCATTTTTCATTTCTCCGATTTCACCGGCTCGAAAACTCATCGTCTGGAGTATTGGAGTAGGTATATAACATGCCCCACGATGGCACGATTTGTCTAGAGTGCAGAATGTCTCGGTTAGAGTACATACGCCAATAACTTTAGGCGAATCACCAGCAGACTCTAGCATAATTATTTTATAAATACTTAAGGTCTTGGACAATAAATTTTAATTCAAAAATGTTGTACACAATTTTTACTCGATAATTTTTCATTTAATCACTATTGCTGTAACGCAGTATTTAACGAGAATTTACCCCAGAAAAAAAGTAAGAACACCCTTGAACAATAAATGGTTCTGCAATCGGAATATTAGTAAACAGTCCTGTTTTATTGGGTATACTCAATGGTACACATAGTATATATATTCATCAGTTTAAATTATTCGTTGAGAATTTCAGCCCATTCTAATCCAGAAACAACTGTTAGCAATATCAACAATTACGTACTACAGATACATTTTTTATTTCCAAGGTAATCGATCCTTAAAAATCCTTCGTTAACTCGGAGGACTACATTCCATAATCAGAGGTAAAAAAAAAAAAAACAAAAAAAAAAAAAATTTTACACATCTATTTGTCCCTACAGTGGCATTATTTGGTCCACCACTCGTCGCGCCCCTTGTACTGTGGACAGAGACAAATTCCAGAGTACACAAGTTTTATAGATACATTATGATCATTGCCAATCACCAATCATAAAAGTTGTGCTTATCCTCGCACTTGTTGCCCTCTTTCAAACGGAGCAAGTACAAATAAAGAGCCCATGCAAAAGGGGACAAGTCGAGGAGGCCGTCCCGTGTCCGTCCGAGGGAGGTGTCCTCGCGAGTGCCCTACACAGGAGGGCTTGCTTGTCTTGAAAAATGAACTTTTGTTGTCCTACACCTAACGGGAGCGAGTCGAGCGAGCAAGTTATTATTGATTTTACAAAAAAAAAAAAAAAAAAAAAAGGATGTAAAGAGAAGGAGGAGAAGAAGAAAGTTCGCTTCCTCCCACCAGCGTTCCTCCGTTAACCCATAGCGGCAGCAAAGCCACGGGGGGCAATGTCAAGGTACCTATAAGTCCGGGCGCGTCTCCCGAGAACCGGTCATTCCTCGCTCGCTGCCGATCGGTCATCGGCGAGGGGAGAGCGATCCAGTTTCGTCGCCATGAAGACTGTGCGGGCACTGGTGCACGTTGCCGTCGTCGTCTCCGCTGTGCTGGGCCACGTCCACGAGGTCACAGGCAGGTACGAGGGTCTCGAGTTCCTGGAGCCCTGCCCGAGATATGCTCCCGATTTCGAGGCTTGCCTCGAGAGATCGGCAAACATGCTGGCGGAACGCTTCCGACACGGTGAGTTCATTGACGCTACGGGCCTTTTTGTTTTCATCCAACCTATACTGCTCTGAATTGTTTTTTACCGGACCAAGATTCTCTGTTTGTATGTTTTGTTGCTTCGATGATATGGGGAATCTAAGGTGGGGGACTGGCTACGATTTTAGTGTTTTTTTTTAAGTAAATTGAATCTTTGGGAATCTTGGAAAAATAAAAAGTGATAACAATAAAACTGGCCCTCCATAACGGTTTTTTAACTGTTATCGTTGTTTATTTAGTAAATAAAGTTGGTGTAATCTGAGTTTTATTAGTTAACACGTTACGGAGCGATTGGATTTTCATTAAAGAGCTGTAGTCAATTTTTAAATGGTTTCATATTTATTTCAATTAATTGTAATCCGTGAAATTGATGATCATCATCATTTTAAATTTCCTATCACTGTGTGTCGTGCTGTTTTTTAACATTTAATCAAGATGTGTTGTACCAGAGTCAAAACTATTTTGTGCATCATAATTTTTGATTGCCATAATAAACCATCGGATTAAGTAAATATACGTTTTTTACATTGCCGAAAATGTGGTTGAGCGAAGCTACCAATCGTATTTTTTTTTTTTTTCCTTCTTCAGCCGTTTATCGTATGAATAATTTTGGGTAAAAATTCGACATTTGACGTAAACCGCTAGTTTCCCTTCTTATACAGAGTACGTAATGTATTTTATAAAGTGAGACCGTTGGAAGAAGGCGAGCAGAGGCGATGAGAAGGAAAAAAGCAGGTTATAAGTATAACGGTGTCTTTGACTCGAGTGTCGACGATGTAGTCGTTACCGACTTCTACATTTATATATACATGTACACGCGTATATACGCATACTTATTAATTAGCGTCCTACATTCAGAGAAGACGACATGATCGAGGTGTTATATCGCGTGCGGAACTGTTTTTGGTCGGTGACTATACCTTTAGCTCTTTGTGACATAAATGTGCCAGCTTTGGTGCCGATGGTGACGCGGAAAAATAATTTTATACTTTTTCTTCCCTGACGCTATTTATTCTAAAACCAAGATGAGGGGGTGAACTTTGTTTCTTGCCCAATACACCCTGACAAAATTCGAGGAATGTAATCGCAAGTAATAATTTGCTACAACATATAGGGTATGAGCACACGTAAAGCGCGCGAGAGCAGCTTTTGTGCAATTATCATTGTTAACTCGGTAAAAGGAAAAAATTTGCGGTTCGTCAAATGGATGCGTGAGAATGTTTATTGTGACGCAGATTTATGCTCATGAGTATTTCACATCACAAATGTTTGCTCTGAGTTAAGTAACTGTGTACCTACATGTCTGTCGTTGAATGCGGCCTGTGTTTGGTTTTTGCAGATGAAAGGCAAACACTTTTGCAAAGAGCAATTTATAATAATGTGCGGAAGAAAAGGACATTTTAAAGGGAGCAAAATAATTTATCATTTACGAAAGAGCTACAGAGAGATACAGTTAAATTTATTTATTTATTAGTTTAAACTAATTAGGTATGTTAGTGGTTGTTTGTGTGCGTTGTCATAAAAAAATTGGCACCCAATGTGTGCTCAAACTTAATATTCAAAAATATAATTTCTCTGATTGATTGGTTTTTATTTTAATTTTTAAAATTAGTTGTAGTTTTATTTGTACATTTTGTAGGTTTAAAGTATATTTTTTCTCAATTTTTGACATTGGAATGTCACACT